GAAGATTACTAGAAAGAGTGTCGATTACATTAGTCGTCTTCATTATTCATCTTTCTCATTGCTTCCATCATTCCTATCATTCTGGAAAATGCTAGTTGCAAGGTCATTCTTTAAATCTGATGATATAGCTTCATTTTTTTTTGTTTGATCAAAATCAACGGTGAAGATCTTCTATCTCAAGGTCGCCGCAAGATGATAATAATTGCTACCACAGTTGCTGCAATTAGTGGGATACTTTTGTTTTGCATTTTTGTCGTATGCAGAGTCAGAAGGAACACAGCAGGTAAATTATTAGACCATATTTTTTTCACTAAAATCGTGGCATAGGGAATTTGAGGCCAGTTGGTTTTTAAACAATGAAATGAATCTCATGGGTTTGATGATTGGAGTTTCAACTTGCTAGTGATTAAAGAAAATGAGTTCAAACTATATTTTCTGTCTACTTCTCTAATTGTATGTGACATATTGATGTATTTATTTAAACCGGTTCTGATCTAATGTTTCGTAATATTATCGTTGAATGCTTTATTCCTTTCTTCTACTGTCCAGAAAAGTTAAAAACGATAGATGACATCGAAAAACAGCTACAAGATATGGATTTGCCGTTGTTTGATCTGCTAACAATCACAACTGCCACTGACAATTTCTCGTCGAATAATAAGATTGGACAAGGTGGTTTTGGATCTGTATATAAGGTAATTCAATATTTAACTACTTAACAGAAAGAGCAACTTAGTCTAGAGATAAATTATTGTTATAGAAAGTATCTATTGATTCTATTCAAATGAATGCAAAAATATGCAGGGAAAATTGGTGGATGGGCAAGAAATTGCTGTGAAGAGACTTTCAAGCAATTCAGGACAAGGAACAACCGAGTTTATAACAGAAGTGAAATTAATTGCAAAGCTTCAACACCGTAATCTTGTAAAGCTTCTTGGCTGTTGCATCCGAGGACAAGAAAAAATATTAGTATATGAATACATGGTTAATGGCAGCCTAGACTATGCCATTTTCGGTATGTAACATGAGAATGCTTACATTAGGTGCACCACTTGTGATTTTTCTTTTACATCAGTCATATTTAGGCACTTAACAATCTTGAATATTTTATATTGATTACCCTATTTGCTTTAGGCGCATAACAATATTTGAATATCTTATATTGATTATCATTTTTGCCCTTGCAAAAATGCAGATAAAATAAAAGGTAAATTTCTAGATTGGCCCCAACGGTTCAACATAATACTTGGAATTGCAAGGGGACTCTTGTATCTTCATCAAGATTCCTGTTTAAGGATTATTCATAGAGATCTAAAAGCAAGTAACGTATTACTCGATGAAAAGTTAAATCCAAAAATATCAGATTTTGGATTGGCTAGAGCTTTTGGAGGAGACCAAACTGAAGGAAACACAAATAGGATAGCTGGAACTCAGTAAGAGTTAAACACCTTATAGATATACTGTGACATATTAATTTATCTATTTATTTTTGTGTCATGTGAATATTTTCTCTGATTATTTTTGTAGTGGATACATGGCTCCAGAGTATGCTGTTGATGGCCTATTTTCAATCAAATCTGATGTTTTTAGCTTTGGTATTTTAATATTGGAGATAATATATGGAAACAAAAACAGAGCTCTTTGTCATGGAAATCAGAAATCTAACCTTGTTAGTTATGTAAGCACTAAAAGAACTTATTATTTATCCATGCCCAAGTTTAACATAAATAATTAGCTTTTCTTTTTCTTCTTCAGGCATGGACAATTTGGAAAGAGCAAAATGCTTTGCAGTTGATTGACTCAAGCATAAAGGATTCATGTGTCAGGCCAGAAGTCATGCGATGCATCCATGTTAGTCTCTTGTGTGTGCAACAATATCCAGAGGATAGGCCAACCATGACTTCTGTAATTCAAATGTTAGGGAGTGAGACACAACTGGTTGAGCCAAAAGAGCCTGGTTTCTTTCCAAGGAGAATTTCAGATGAAGGAAATTTAAGCTCAAATTTAAACAAAATGACTTCAAATAATGAATTAACCATTACCTCCTTAAATGGCCGCTGAAAATTTGAGTCAGCTGAACTTATTTCACTGGCGCATAATTTGCATTACAAGTACATTCCCTATCAAAGGATTTTTGTTTCGAAATAGTTGTTCTGATGTATTTGCATGGTTATATATAAAGATATAATCACACGTTTTAATGTTTTTTCCGGGGACAAAATTGATACATGTTGTAGTAGAGGCTTCACCCTCCCAGCAGACTCCATCACTATGTGGTTTCATGACTCATAGCAACACTGCAACAACATTGTTATCTCATGGATCAACCGAATGAAGCTTGACTCCACAGATTGCACAAATTACCATTTTCATTGATAATGCACGAGATCTTCAAGACAATGATAGACTTTTGCATCTGACATTTTGCGAGAATTACATTCTATTGCTATATACCAAGAATGGAGATCGCAATGGATCAATATTCTTTACTGATTTGAAGTCTCTCCAGAAAGTATTAAAAACTTTAAGGCCTACCACTTCTTGTTCATGCCACAACCCTTGTCCTTGTAATCTTTCTAAATGCATCAAATAATATAAAGACAATGAGTATGTCATATGCTTCTTAAAAGGTTTGAATGATTATTTCAACACTGTTAAAACTCAAATTCTTCTGCTTCAATTAACAAGGTCTTTGCTTTAGTTACCCAACAAGAAAGACAATTTGTTGTTTCCAATTTTGGTAATTCCATTGAACTTTTTGAATTGCCATTTTTGTCTCTTGATAAACTAGACTTATAAGCTATGTTTTTCTTTCTTAATGATGGTAAGGGGGAAGAGGAGAGTGGTACAATTATCGTCAGACAATAATTTTTAGTAATGAATCTTTTAAATCCTAAGCTATTTATAGTACCCATACATGTTAAGTTCTACCGAAGATGATTTTTTTTATTTTTTTTTATATATATTTAGTTTAGTAAAATTGCTTATGATAACAGAAACTGTATTCCATATTTTGTTATATATGATCACAAATATTTTTTTGTAATTATGATCATCATACTTATGAATTAATGAGAAATGATTATATCTCTTTCTTTGTCAATATTCTACATTTATATAATTTTTTCTATAAATCTTTAGTAACGTATCTAGAAGGATTGTATCCTAAATTTCAAAAAATTGTTATATCCTTATATCTATGTTGTATGATACCCATGTCGTAAGAAGTATTTAGGCTTCACAGCAAATCAGTAAAATAGTATTTAAAATAACAAAGAGAATAAAAGATAAGCAGAAAAAAAAAAGCCATAATCGACCTTTGACCCAAGAGAAAAAAAAAATCACTTCTAAAACCTTTGTGATTAGTTTTTTTATACGCAACTATGCAAATGCATCAGAACAAAGAGTTTATGGAACAAAAATCCTTTGGTAGTGAATGTACTTGCAATGCAAATTGTGCATCATTGCAGTATCTTCAGCTTTGACTCGATAATTTTCATCGACCATCTAATGAGGTAATGGTTAATTTATCATTTGAAGTCATTTGATTTGGATTTGAGCTTGAATTTTCTTCATCTGAGATCCTCTTTGGAAAGAAACCAGGCTCTTTTGGCTCAACCATTTCCATCTCACTCCCTAACATTTGAATTACTGAGGTCATGGTTGGCCTATCCTCTGGGTATTGTTGCACGCACAAGAGACTAACATGGATGCACCGACGCACTTCTTGGATGACACATGAGTCCTTTATGCTTGAGTCAATCAACTGTAAAGCATTTTGCTCTTTCCAAAGTGTCCATGCCTGTAACATAAAGGAAGTAGAAAAGTAAATTATTCATGTTTAAACTTGGGCATTGATATATAAGTTATCTGAGTTCTTACATAACCAACAAGGTTTAGAGTTTCGTTTCCATGACAAAGAGCTCTATTTTTGTTCCCACATATAATCTCCAACAATAAAATGCCAAAGCTAAAAACGTCTGATTTGATGGAAAATAGTCCATCAACAGCATACTCAGGGGCCATGTATCCACTACAAGAAATAAATACAACAAAAATATCAAGAAAAATAAACAAATAAATAAATAAATGTGTTGAAATATAGTTAGACAGAAACTTACTAAGTCCCAACAATTCTATTTGTGTTTCCTTCAGTTTGTTCTCCTCCAAAAGTTCTAGCCATTCCAAAATCTGATATTTTTGGATTTAATTTTTCATCGAGTAAAACGTTACTTGCTTTTAAATCTCTATGAATAATCCTTAATCGGGAATCTTGATGAAGATACACAAGCCCTCTAGCGATTCCAAATATTATGTGAAAGCGTTGGGGCCAATCTAAAAATTTACCTTTTACTTGATCTGTTTCCATGAAAAGCAAATACGTAATTCAATATTAGATATTCAAGATTAATTAAATGCATATTCTTCATATTACATACCAAAAATGATGGAGTCTAGGCTGCCGTTAACCATGAATTCGTATATTAGTAATTTTTCGTCTCCTTGAAAGCAACAGCCGAGGAGCTTTACAAGATTTCGGTGTTGAAGCTTTGCTATCAGTTTTACTTCTGTTATAAACTCAGTTATTCCTTGTCCAGAACCTCTTGAAAGTCTCTTGACAGCAATATCTCGTCCATCTGCTAATTTTCCCTGCATAATTGCATTCATTTCATTTAATGTTTAGTATAACAATAGTTCATCTCTAGCCTCTAGTTGTTCTGTTTTCTGTTAAATTCACAAATATTTAGTTACCTTGTATACTTGTCCGAAACCACCTTGTCCAATCTTATTATTCAAGGAGAAATTGTTAGTGGCAGTAGTGATTGTTAGTAGATCAAACAATGGCAGATCCAGATCTCCTAGCTGGCTTTCGATGTTATCTTTTACCTTGGACTCTGGACAACGAAAGGAAGGATTGAAGCATTCAAATGATTCAATAATATTATGAAACATACAAAATGGATTGGAACTGATTTAAATACATCTATATGTCACATTCAATTAGAGAAGTAGACATAAAATATGTTGTGTGAAGTCAATTTCTTTAATCACTAGCAAGTTGAAACTCCGATCATTAAACCCACGAGCTTCATTGCCATGCTAAAAAGCCACCCTGGATCAAATTCTCTGATAAGCTATGTCTACACTACAAATGCTTCCTGAAGCATTTCCAATTTGCAATTTAAAAAGCTATATATATAGGAAAGAGTTGCCACGATTTTAGTGACAAAAATATCGGCTAGCTAAAATTTACCTGCATTGTTCCTTCGGACTCTGCAGATGACAAATATGCAAAACAAAATTATGGCACCAGTTGCAGCAATTGTGGTAGCAATTATTATGGTAACGCTTTTGTTGTGCCCATCTTGCTCTTGAAGATTGATTTGATTAAAAAAACAAACAATAACATAAAATTAAATCCTCAGATTTAAACAATGATCTTGAACTTCTCCAAAATAAGAAGATATATTGTAGTACTAAGGAGAAAGATTAGTAATGAAGTCTTTACCAAATTCCGAGCCAGACATCCGGATATACAGATCTTGCCCACCAGTTTGAGACTCTTTAACGTCAAATAGTTCACCAAACCAAAGGACACAACCACTACCTGCTCCTCTTATGTCCGAATTAGTAAAAGCCATGCAAGAGCAATTATTGGAGCATCTGGCTCTGCATTCATCTAAATTTATATTCTCATCCACCCAAGTATGTGTAGTTTCTGGTACTTTCATGCCTACATATTTGACAAACACATCTCTGTCTTTGCAGTGAAATGGTTCATTCTGAATGCATCCTTGTCTCCAATTGCTTGTGTTCCATTCCTGTTGTGACTTTGGACTGAATCCTTCTAAACATTGGCACACTCTTGAGTCTGTGATGCTGCAAACCGCGTTGGCTCCACAGAGACCATACATATCACAGAAGTCACCCGGGGTAATTATGTTAACCCTCCACTTTTCCTTTTCCTTCTCCCATACATGGGTTTGGAAACTAGCATTGATTATTTTGACTTTCACAGTGACAGAATTGTTGATTAGGGTATATGAGTAGAACAACTCCTCATCATTGGAGACGAACATGGCATTTTGGTTTTGAATTTGATCTGACACGCCACTAAATTGAAGTCCATTCCATGGTCCGGTTCGGTAGTACTTTTGTGTTCCTTTCATCACATAAAACTCTGGATAACTATATAGCATTAAACCCCAAGAAAAATTTCCTAGTGATGGATCATCTGGACTCGTCCAAGACGTTAATTTTCGTTCCAATCCGGTTCGGAGGTCCCATCCCAACTTCATCCCAGGCAAAAGTGTATCAGAAGGATAGTCAAAGCTTTGCCACAGGTACATGTCTGGGTTTGTGTCTCCCTCATTTCTTATCACAAGATTTCCACTGTCCAAAATCTGTGCCACTGGATTCTGTGCTTGTTTTTGGTACGTTGTTGACCAAACAACAGAATCATTTTGTCTGAGTTCAAGATTACCTGTGCTGGTAAATGTCAAGATTCCTGAGGAATCGTTGATCGGGTTTGCCCGGTTTGCCACCCAAACAACTCCGTCAATAGGAATATTTTTATACCAAATTCCTAGGTAACGCTTTGTGGTGCTACCTAGGCTGAAGAAACCAAGCTCAAACACTCCACCTTTGGACACTAAGGTCTTGCCGTCACTTATAGACTGTGTCTGTGACACACTGTCTATAGCTGCTGAAAATTTGAGAGAGGGAAGAACCATATAAGTAACAATAATCATGAAAGAAAAAAAATCCATTGAATAGAAGGTTATTTGGACACTGCTGATATGGATTCAGATTCAGCCAAGCATGTCATAATTCATAAGCGCACAATACAGAATGGTTCCTCTTCCCTACTTAGTCAAACCTACCTACGCGTTAATTTAGAACCAACCACAAGTGACTTCTTTGCTATAAATTCAAATGTCTTTGCCTAGTTAACAATGTTTCCACCCAATCACCACATGACAGCTGACAACATTTTTACTCTTTTTTCTTTACTGAATTGTCTATTTTTTCATGCCTTGTGAGATTGGTCAAAACATATGTTAGTAGGTCCTACAGGATAATCTAAATTTTTCTCTAGTTTGACTGTATGAATTCAGTGACATTATTTTTTAGCATGTGACCCTCAATTTGAAAATCAAAGTCTTTACTCCATCGTCATACTTGTACATTCAAACTTTTATTATTATTTTAAAAGTAAGATCAAAATAATCACATTCTATCAATGGATGTGGACTAGTCAAAATTCCGGGGTTCATTGCTAAAGAACCTAAGCATGAGTAGAATGATACTTATCAACCATGGTTCAAAAATTTGGTAACCTTGCTCTTCTGTGGTTCCAATCTCAAGCAAAACTTCCTACATCTTTGAGAGCCATAGGATGATGGTGAAGGATTTTCACACTTGGCAAGTGGACCAAGAATCATCAAGTATTTAAAGATAGCGTCCACATGGATTTGTAGATATTTGTAATTTCTTTTCTAGTTCAACTTGTAATAATAACTATATACATATTAATATACTTCAAGGATCATGTAATTAAAATAGATAATTAATGACAAAGCTAATTCAAGAAAATATGTATTAGATTCAAGTTAACAGAACCAAAATACAAGAGGGATATTGGGATTAAAATGCACTTGCTCACAGCTTATTCTTTCCAATGATTTTCACATATGAATCCAGTTTATCATAGTCCCACGTCTATTATAATTGTTCAAGCTGATTCCTCAAACTTAATTCCCTAAGAATTTAACCCTTAATCTATGATTCCTTAATTATCAAAGTTAAATTATTGCATTAAGTATGAAGATGCAACTAGCTAACAACCCCAAATCAATTGCTAGCACCTGGAGTTGCCAGGTGAGTTGATTCAAACAAGGTTTTGAAAATGTTTTCCAACCAGATTTGCAACCATAAATCAAAAGACGAGTGATCAAGTTGACTTAAGCATCAAGAGTAGAACCAAAACACAATATGAAAAATTGAATTACATAGATGAGATCCAAAGGATTACATAAGTATTTGGCAATTACATTTAATCCCAACCCAAGAGAAATCAGCCACTCATGATGAGGGCTTTTGCTAATATAATAAGAAATTACAAGATGAAGAAATAAGGAATGCTTAGGATAAAGACCCTTGTTCCCAAAGGATCTTGATTTCCCAAGCTTCCTTAGATGCTCTCTTTTTCTCTCTCTTTTCATTCTCCACTATCTCTTCTCTTTCTTCACAATCCTTTATTTATATGTTTTGTGTGGAATAAGGGAAAGTTATAAATTTAAGCTCCACCGCTGTAGCACTATATCACCGCTACAACACTAAGGAGTTCTTCATACTGAAGGAACCTCTTGCTACTAGGGTGCAAGGTTGAGCACTAAGGTGCTGGGTTAGCCTTAGATCCTCTAGCATATCAAGATTCAACGTCACAACTCTAACATCACCGTTGCAACGTTGGATCTCTGGAATTTTGTTTCACCCACCAAATTTCAGTGCTAGAGTGCTAGGATGAGCACTGCAATGCCAAGTCTCTGGCTCTCTGTGCTTCCTTCAATCCTTCAATAGTTGAAGAACTAAATGAGCGTTGGGGCATTGAGCCTTTTAAATTTTCCTTTTCTTCCTCTAGCTACTTCAGACTCAACATGGGTTCTTTCTACACAAAATTGAGAGAATTTACTTCCTAATTCACCAAACATCTTATAATACTTCTCCTTTGAATTTCTAAGAAAACTTGAGGGAAATTTGTTAACTTTTTTTTTTCAGCAAGTGTACTAAAATAAAAGTAGTATAGATCAAATATCGTCTTCAGAGATTTGTAGACAATTAGAAGGTGAACACGCTATCATCAACTTGTAATAAAAAAAACTTGATATTGGGATTAAGAGACATGAATCTTTAAACTTAAAAAGAGTTACAATTAACATGAATAGTAAGATTGAGAAGAAATTCAAGTTTCAAAGATGTTGGGACTAATATTCATTTTATACAACATGAGATTACTCTATTGTATCAGAACTTATTTACTCATTCATGATTTCAATCGACAAATTCAAATTGATTCCTCAAACTTGAAACTCTAAGAACCTTAGTCAACACCTAATTCCTCAATGTATTAATTTAATGTTCTTGCATTAAGTTCATGGATTTTTGGATTGATGAATTTGAATCTATTCCTAGACATCAAATAATCATCAAGTGCCTAGATTCAGTTTAGATTACAAATATGTTTCCCAACTATACTTGAAATCAAAATCATACAAAAGAAGCATTAAGTATAGAATCAAACACTACCATAAATAATTAAACTTCACATATATAAACAAAAAAGAGTTTACATCAATATTAACAAATGAACTTAATCCCAATTAGGAGAGTTTAGCTATGCATAATCAAAGAGAATGTAGGTATACAACCCATAGATTAGAGGAAGAAAATAAGAAGTGATGATCCTCGTTCCCGAGCAATCTTGTTCTTCAAATCTCCTTCACACCCTCTTCTCTCCCTTTCTCGTTTTGTTCCTCTCTTCTTTCTTTCTCATTTTGAACAGGTATTTATATGACCTTCAAAATAGAGGGAAAATATGAACTTTTTTCTCCCACCGCTACAATGTTGGCTCACAACTGCAATGCTGGAGAGTACTTCAGCTTGAAGTAATAAGCTCCACAGTTTGAGTGTCGATTCACTGTTGTGGTGGTGAAATACCCTATTTCCAAATCAACTCCAGACTTCCACAGCTAGAGCGTTGGTTGGGTGCCATGGCGCCAAGAATCTATGGCACCTCTGTTGCTTCATTGCCGGTCTGGGGCCATGGCACTAGGTCTAGGAATCTATTGAAGCTTTATAAATTCACAGTTGTGACAGTGGCTCAAGGCTTAGCGGTGAAACTTAGAAATTTCTCTTTTCTTGCAAAATAAAGAAAAAATTTGATATTATCATTATACCTTCTTGATGAGATTATTTTATTGTATTTGTTTGAGGGGATATTTTATGAGGGTTATTTTTATAGGGTTATTACACAAACATACTCCACAATGATGAGATATTTTCGCTTTAGGCCTAAGCCCTCACGGTTTTACTTTTGGACATCACCAAAAAGGCCTCTCAATCATTGAAGTATGTTTATGTTATATAAGTTGTTATTTCTTGTTTTATTTTATCGATGTGGGACTTGTTTGTATCCCAACAATCCTCCCCTCAAACAAGAGACCTAACCTTTCATGCAGCGGAATCTGTCTTTATATAGACGGCTTATGGGGTTATTGGTTGTCACCGAATCCAACCAAGCTCTGATACCACTGATAGGGTTATTTTATGGTATTTTTCTAAAGGGATATTTTATGAGGGTTATTTTTATAGGGTTATTACACAAACATACTCCACAATGATGAGATATTTTCGCTTTAGGCCTAAGCCCTCACGGTTTTACTTTTGGACATCACCAAAAAGGCCTCTCAATCATTGAAGTATGTTTATGTTATATAAGTTGTTATTTCTTGTTTTATTTTATCGATGTGGGACTTGTTTGTATCCCAACAATCCTCCCCTCAAACAAGAGACCTAACCTTTCATGCAGCGGAATCTGTCTTTATATAGACGGCTTATGGGGTTATTGGTTGTCACCGAATCCAACCAAGCTCTGATACCACTGATAGGGTTATTTTATGGTATTTTTCTAAAGGGATATTTTATGAGGGTTATTTTTATAGGGTTATTACACAAACATACTCCACAATGATGAGATATTTTCGCTTTAGGCCTAAGCCCTCACGGTTTTACTTTTGGACATCACCAAAAAGGCCTCTCAATCATTGAAGTATGTTTATGTTATATAAGTTGTTATTTCTTGTTTTATTTTATCGATGTGGGACTTGTTTGTATCCCAACAATCCTCCCCTCAAACAAGAGACCTAACCTTTCATGCAGCGGAATCTGTCTTTATATAGACGGCTTATGGGGTTATTGGTTGTCACCGAATCCAACCAAGCTCTGATACCACTGATAGAGTTATTTTATGGTATTTGTTTGAGGGAATATTTTATGAGGGTTATTTTTATAGGGTTATTACACAAACATACTCCACGTCAATGATGAGATATTATCCGCTTTAGGCCTAAGCCCTCACGGTTTTACTTTTGGACATCACCCAAAAGGCCTCTCAATCATTGAAGTATGTTTATGTTATATAAGTTGTTATTTCTTGTTTTATTTTATCGATGTAGGACTTGTTTGTATCCCAACACTTCTCTTATCTTAATGCTCCTTCTTGAATTATCAATAAAAGGGGAGAAAATATAGTAACATATATATATATATATATATATATATAATTAACAAAGAAAGTGCCTATTAAGAATAATATTCATTAAATTCTGAAAATTATCAAAATTCCACATTAACTATGCATAATTGATTCACAAATAACGTTAATTATAAGATAAAATCATGTATTTCATGCACTCATCAAATTCCCCCCAACTTAGCATTTTGTTTGTCCCTAAAAAAAAGTTTTAAATAGTGATCATGATAGGTACAAACACACACCAAAATGTAAATTAAATTCAAAATAACTTACCAACTCCATACACTATGTTTCCTATCAACAAAAGGAAGGAATAATCATCACCAAATTCACTTTCAACTTTAGACCACTTTGCATATATCACAAGAGGTGCCCACTTCATCACTCATACACAATCACAAGAGTCTAAAGACAAGCCATCAAGAGTAACAATTCAAGATCAATGACTGGCTGCAAATTTTCTCACAGGTATTCCTCCAAAAGGCGAGTGTTTCTTTCTGTCCAAACATCACTTCTATGAACATAAGCATTGAAAGTCATCTCTCAATTGTCACTTCTTAGGAAGAAAATAAGGATCACAAGGTCTTTTAAGGTTGTAATTGGGCGTGACTAACAAAGGAGATGATGGAAAACTTGTAGGAGAATCCGGATTGATGTGAATCCTCTTCAAGTTCCTCCCTAGATCTTCGGCTCCTTGATTCTTCCTAAGCTTTGCTAAGGTCTCCAATGGAGGAGGAGACCTTAGAACCACCACGGTTTGGTGGAGAAATCTCCCAAGAGACGCCACTCCTTGATGAAGAGATAAGTCTCTTCAATTCTCACCACACTCTTCTAGTGAAGGGATAAGAGAATTGGATGAATATCAAAGAGGTTTAGGGACTTTTAGAATAGAGAAATCTGAACAATCTTCAGAAAATAAATCTCAATACATCCAAAAGTGTCTTACAATGAAAGGAATACAAGTATATAGGAGTAGGAAGCTTAGAGAGCAAGCTAGCCTTAACCATGGTTCACTAGGAACCATGGTAAGGTCTAGCTAATCCGTCCATGGTCTAGAGGCTTGGAAAGCAAGCTTCTCACTTATCTTGCTTGGTAAGCTAGCTAAGGAGAAGCTTGTGCTTCAAGCTTCTAAGCTTGAGAAGAGCCAAGCAATCCGCCCAATGTGAACACAACTAAGGTGGGCGGCTTTTTGGACTTAATTTACTCCAACCGGTTTTGAAAATGTTAATTTGGTTTAGTTAGGTTCATCCAATGTGAATAGAACCTAGCTAAATCAAATCTATGAAAAATTAGGAGTAAAATGAGTCCAATATGTAAAATTTATCCTAGGACCACCTCTTGGCTAAATTGCTAGTAACACTCTCTAGCTTGCTAATGGCACTCTCTAGCTTGCTAATGCCACTCCCAATCCTACTACTAGAAAACTAAGAAAAGAGTGTATTTCTAGGTTAGGTTAAATGGAGTCAAAGTGCCCAAGTAACCTACCCTAGAAACAATATACAATAGCTACTAAAAGGAAATAAAGTGCCTCTCAAATACAAAGGCAAAAATACACCTATACAAGTATCTACTATATACAAGGTACAAGAAATCAAACTATACAATGTATGTACAATAGAGACTATGAGACTAAAAAGAGGAAACATACTCAATACTCATATTGAGCATAGGTCTAAGAAGCACCTCCTCTCTAGAAGCCTCCTCTAGCCTCCTAACCATGGACCTAGTTAAAGGCCCAATGGTTTTCAAGTGTGAGCCTCCTTGGATCAACCTTCACTCTTCTTGGTCTTACCTCTTCCAAAGGGATCCTTGGGGATTAGATTTCCATCAGGAGATATAGTTTTTCTAGTTAACACAAAGTACCAACATTCAGAGAGAAAAAGTGAAAATGAATAGACTTACAATTGCCTTTCTCACTCTCTTGATTTCTTGATTCCACTACCATACCTCACGACACAATTTCTTCCTTGAATGAACCACATATACCCTCACTTGCTTTTTGAATATGACTTAGAAAATCCCCTCTCCTTTTTTTTATAACTTACTATTTACATTGACATAAACTCTCTCTCTCTTTATATATAAGAACATTACAACAATATATACTTGCGAGGGTATTTTTAATTATGGTTGAATTGAATATAAATAAGGCACAAACAAGTTCTCAAATTGATTTTTGCATTCTCAGGTTGGTTGTTTGGCTCTAAGCTTAAGATTTCCAATAAACACAATGAACGCTTTGATCCTTTCCAAAATTCTTCCCCCAAAAGCAACAATCACAAGACTCAACCAATGCAAACACTATGCCATGACGATGGCTCTCAAAAGTGTATAATTTGAATATGCTCTCATATCTCACTGGTTTGGCTACTTGTCCCAATCACCAACTCTTCATGCCAACTTATTGATTTGTCAATGTTCCTCAAATGATCGTGCACAATTAAATAGAGTGCAACCAACAAGTGAATATCAAAAATCTTTTCCTTTCCCTTTCTCTGCTGAATTTAATTGAGATAAATTCTTTTGTTGAATTCAAAACAATGTGTTCCATCTAGAAAAAATTTCAATCATTCCCAAAAAAGAAATTTGCAATGAAGTCACCTATTTCCTAAAAAATATTCTGTTACTTATTTTACCTAATTTTCTATTTACACATTGCTTCCACCTATGCTTCCAAAACAAAACAAGATAAAACTTCCAACATTAGTGTCACTGCTGTTCCCAAAACAAGTCTGCTAACAACAGCCAAAACATTCAACAATAACCAGTAAAACCAAGATAGTCACAGTACAAAAAGAAATTCACATCCAAGTTTGATTAAAACTAAATTAAACTAACAACCAACATAAACTAAAAGACTTAAAACACTTAACCAACAAACCTAACTTAAAAGACTGAATTAAAAAACTAAATTTAAATTTTGGCAGAAAATTTAAAAGAACTCTTTAAGGTTGCTTTCTTCATCCTCCTCGTCCTCTGATTCCTCTTCAGATTCTTCCTCTAATTCCACTATTTGCAACTTTGTATCCACCTCAGCACTCAAATCATCATCATCCTCTCCATCCTCATTGTCATTGTCCTCAGCTCTAGCAGCTTCAATGTCAATAGTAGGCTGCTCTGCTCCTCCTCCCCCTTGGAGGTTTGGACTGTCCCCAGGCCACAAAAAGCGAGACTCAAATTCTTTAGGGGTTGGCCATGAGTACAAACTGGCACCAATATCTGTCCTATTGAGTAGAATTAGGAATTGAGAGCCAGTTGTCCTCTATGATTGGGGTCCCCTAGGGATGAACATGATGAAGGTGGCCCATTTGGAGTTGGTGTTGCTCCTCAATTTTTTGAAATTAGCTTGTTAAAAAGGTGTTAAAAAAACCAGAACAGAAAAACTAGAACAGGAAAAAACTGGAACAGAGAAGTAAAGTTTCTGTTTTTGGTGTTTCAAAGAAAGGAAGAAATAAATGGTGAGGTAGCATTTTCACTTTATATACTTATAAATAAAAGAAAAAGGCAGGCTATATGCGAATCTTTTAAAGGGTCAATTTTAGTTGTTAGCTACTATTTGAGTGAGAATATGAATGGTAGGCCATATCCTAAATGCATGAATGACTACTCCTCTCAACATTTGTGGTTGTTTAATTTGTAAGATTTTAATTATGTGTGGTTATTTATTATGATGTGAAATATTTGTAGTTGTTTAATTATTAACAAGCTCTTGATTAAAATATGAGATAGACAAACAACCCAATTATCATTGTAATATGACATAAAGATAAGTTAAAAATAATTTTTAAATTTTTTTTTTTTTAAATTATTTTTTTTTAAATTATTTTTTTACGGGTACGGGTATACCCGATACCCGACGGGGACGGGGATGGGACAAAATTTACATACCCGACAGGTATGGGGACGGGGACGGGTATGGGTTTGAGTCGCGGGGACGGGGACGGGGATCATGAAACCCGTACCCGCCCCGCCCCGTTGCCATCCCTAGTCCCCAGCAATATTCTCTCGAGTAACACCTATTCGATTCTTAGAATTTTCGAGTAGACCTAACAAATGCCCCCTAGGAATTCGATCTTGATGTGCATGCTTAGAGAGATTCGGATTCCTACCGAGCCTTACTCCAATTACTTAGTCGGAGACTACATCTTTCGATAAAACCCTATTTTGATTTGTACTTTTTGATTTGCAATTAACCCATATGACCGTTTGATGCGACAATCATGGTAAATACGGCGTGTATTTCCGTTTTCACTGTTCTCAAAATATTTTGGTGGCTGTTTTTAAACTTTCAATTAAAATTTGAATTAATTCAGAAGCCTATTCCACTCTAGGCCAAATGATGCGTAAAATTTTTTTTTTTTTTTTACCCTAGAGTGAAACTATTTTCACCATTTTACTCTTTTGCTTCCTTTTTGCCCAAGTTAGTGTTTTTCTGTCCCTCCATTGCTTGGTTCTTGATTTTCAGTGACCCTGTTCTTCCTAGTCTCTCTTGTTCTGATGGCCTCTTCAACTGCTTCCACCTTCGCTGCCGTGGCTTCCACAACGTCTCCCACTGGTGTTTCTACTTCATCTCCTATCTTGACCACTGTGACGCCTTCTACTGTGGTGACTACTGCACCCGTAACCACCATGGCCATGCAACTTCCGTTCACGGTACTCCTTTATTAATGGCCAACGCCCATATCTGCAAAGTCAAAGAGGGCGATGACACTTTTGTTCCAATTCCCGGCATGGAAGAGGCCAGTTTGAAGATTTTTCAATCTCAGGTACTTCTCCCTTTCTCTTTAGAAAGTGGTTCTATTCATGCTTTTCTTGGTCCTTTCGCTGGTCAGAATACGAAGAGGTTTGGTAATACTCTTTTGCATGAAGATCCTTCTTCCTTACCTTTCATCTATTCTCCTGAGATAGACTTAACCCTTTTTGGGGACACCACTAAGATCTTTAGAGCCTTCCCTCCTGTTAAAGATAGACATTCATCTTGGCTAGCCCGTGTGGTTCTATGTCCTCTGAATGGAAAGAAACAGGAATTTTCGAGTTTATCCAACTGGCCAAGTTCGACCTCCATCTTTTCGACCCTCAGATGCTCCTTTCTACTATCTTTTTCTAAAATAGAGAAACTCGGGCTTTTGAATTCCCTTGTGGTTTTGTTTGCCCTACTTTGCTCGATATTGCTGCTATAACAGGATTAATGCCTCTTGGAGAAAGATTTCATCCTGATGCGTTTGAAGAAGAAATTTCGATCAAGGATGTTTCGATTACTTGGGATAAAAAGACCTATTTAGCTTTTATCACTGCGCATATGGGCCCTTCTGGTACGCCTGTTTCCCCTTCAGAACATATTGCTTTTCTCATGTATTGGTTATCCGCATGTGTCTTTTGCACTTCTTCACTCCAAGTCCCAAAATATTATTATAATTTAGCCCAAGCTCTTCACTCGAAAAAGAAGATATGTTTAAGCAAACTTCTCTTGGCTTCCCTATACATTTGCCTTGATGAAGCTTCCGAGAGCCTTTCTCGAGAATCTGGGCCTCGAAATCTCTCTGGCCCATTATGGCTACTTCAACTGTGGCTTAACGCGATATTAGAGAAGAAACTTCATCTGCCTTCGACTCCGATTCCTATCTGCGAACTCGAAGGAGCTCGTTTGACAACCCTCACCCCTCGCAAACGTCTAGTAGATAATTTTGAGAGATATATCAGAGCTATTCTTAGTTTTACTGACTTTACCGAGGACTTAGCTCCTTTCATTCGACCGAACTTAATAGGTCCGACTTGGCTTCGTCAAAATAATCAGGTTGGAAACATCAGTCCTTCTTCGACCGACATTTGGTTTGGGTTCTTGTCCTGGGATGTCATTATCTCAGGTATGAGGCAGAAAGATGTTAGGCTTTACCCTTACCAACCTCAGTTATTCGCTCGACAATTTGGGCTTTGCCAAATGAAGCCTCTCCCTCTTCGTCGTAAGGAAAGCATTGATGCAGATATTTGTGTCGACGAAGGGAATTATGAAGAAGTCCTCGATTTCATCCTTCGACCTGATAAAGAGCTCAAGCTTACACCCTCTACTTTTTCTCCTTCATTTTTGGTTTCAAAATGCTACCTTCGATGGTGGTGTTATTATGTTGTAGATAAACTCATCAATTTTGATGGCTTTTTGAAGAAGCTGATAAACTCTCCTCTCTCTTGTTCACAGGGGCCCAAGCAATCAGGTACTTTCAAGAATCAAACTATAATTTATCAATTCGAACAATTTTTTAAAGTTTGTTATCGACCCAACAATATGCATCGAACCATCTTTGACGCTTCTGTCTCCTTATCGAAAATGGTACAAAAGAACATTCGCTCAAAAAAGGTAATAAACCCTCGAGGTAAAACTGATTTCGAAAAATTTTGTCCAAAACACATACCCCCTCTTCCAAATGCTCTTTTCGGTTTAGTTAAACATGTATCTCACCCTCCCTGGGTGAAAACACTCGACCCGTTTTACCTTGAGCGCAAAGAGATTCCTGTTAAGGATCGAGTTACCTATGCGAGATGTTCCGTGTATGATTTTCCTCGAAACAAATGGTGGCCACTATGTTGGGTCAATAACATTAACCCTCCTCCTAGTAAATATCTTTCAACAAATTCATTTTCGATTTTGGTTTGAACTCATCTCATCTCTTTTCTTGACTTTCGCAACTGCCATTCCTCAACGTGTTCCTCAACATGTTGAGCAAAATCCTAATTGGGAGAGTGATGATGACGAGGATAAAGAGTCATCAAAGAAAGGTCGAAAACGAAAGACCGCTGCTGACAAAGTTTCTTTACATTCTAAGGTACCATTCACTTCGATTTTACTTTTTACTAAAACTCTTCGACCGTTTCATCTTACCTCTTCAAGCTTTTATCTTATAGAGTATTGAAACTTCAAAGAAACAAAAAACGGGTTCAGACAATACCAAAACTGTAAGTGAATCAACCCAAATACCAGTGTTACTCTTGCTTACATTTCTTAATAATACAATTGTCCTCATTTTCAGGTCTCGATTAAAAAGCAAGATAAAGGGAAAGGAAAGATGGTCGTTTCCCTTTCCAAGAAAGCCAAGAAGCCTCCGACTGTGAAGCTTCTTCAAGATGCAATGAAATCTGTGTCAAAGGTAAGTTAATTAAATTTTTTTTTTCGATTTATTTTCCCTATATCATTGACTTCTCTAACACCCTTTTTTTTTATTGCAGGATGTTGAAGTCATCCAACTTGACTCTTCTCACAATGTATCGAGAGATTTACCTCTTGTTACTGAAGCAACCCAACAGGTTCTCTTTTCTATCTTTCGGTCTTATAACCTTCCCTTCAATCTTCTCACCACAAAATTTCTGTGCAGTTGACCACACCTCAATTGAACAATGCTGAGATTGCTTATGTGGTGGCTTCAATCAAAGTCCCTCCACAAGTCGAAGGAGACAAAATTCTCAATTCTGAATCTTCGCCTATTGTGAAGACCTTAAATGATTCTGCTCAAGGTGAACCCTCTTTCGAGCTACAACCTCCCTTGAGTCCGAACAAGGGTATATTTCTTTCGACTGTACAACCTTGTCATGATTCTTAATATAATCATCTTATATATTCTCTTTTTGTGCAGGGTCGACTGAATCACCTCGACCTTTCACTGCTTCCCCCTCAACTCAAGGAGGTGCTACCTCTTTTGTTCAAGGCCTTTCCGCGATTCCTTCCCCTGACTTAGATTTGATGAGCTTCTTCAATGATGAAGATGAAGATATTAACAGTATCTTCGAGGTCTTGGACAATTGGACAAGTGGTCCTTCAGAGTCAGAGAAAGAAAAAGTTAAAGTTGTCGAGGAGATTTCTGAGACTCCATTATATCAACCTCTTGCTTACATTTCTTAATAATACAATTGTCCTCATTTTCAGGTCTCGATTAAAAAGCAAGATAAAGGGAAAGGAAAGATGGTCGTTTCCCTTTCCAAGAAAGCCAAGAAGCCTCCGACTGTGAAGCTTCTTCAAGATGCAATGAAATCTGTGTCAAAGGTAAGTTAATTAAATTTTTTTTTTCGATTTATTTTCCCTATATCATTGACTTCTCTAACACCCTTTTTTTTTATTGCAGGATGTTGAAGTCATCCAACTTGACTCTTCTCACAATGTATCGAGAGATTTACCTCTTGTTACTGAAGCAACCCAACAGGTTCTCTTTTCTATCTTTCGGTCTTATAACCTTCCCTTCAATCTTCTCACCACAAAATTTCTGTGCAGTTGACCACACCTCAATTGAACAATGCTGAGATTGCTTATGTGGTGGCTTCAATCAAAGTCCCTCCACAAGTCGAAGGAGACAAAATTCTCAATTCTGAATCTTCGCCTATTGTGAAGACCTTAAATGATTCTGCTCAAGGTGAACCCTCTTTCGAGCTACAACCTCCCTTGAGTCCGAACAAGGGTATATTTCTTTCGACTGTACAACCTTGTCATGATTCTTAATATAGTCATCTTATATATTCTCTTTTTGTGCAGGGTCGACTGAATCACCTCGACCTTTCACTGCTTCCCCCTCAACTCAAGGAGGTGCTACCTCTTTTGTTCAAGGCCTTTCCGCGATTCCTTCCCCTGACTTAGATTTGATGAGCTTCTTCAATGATGAAGATGAAGATATTAACAGTATCTTCGAGGTCTTGGACAATTGGACAAGTGGTCCTTCAGAGTCAGAGAAAGAAAAAGTTAAAGTTGTCGAGGAGATTTCTGAGACTCCATTATATCAACCTCTACTCGACTCT